TGTTGCACAGTTCCATTGGCTTTTAACAGTGTCCTCCATCTGATGTCCTGGTGCCCAAGATGCCAGCATTGCAAACCAGTGCTGTGCACCAACCCTGGGGGCAGTCTGCAGTGTGTGTGTGTGTGTGTGTAGTTTGGTAGATAGGGGAGCTTGGAGCCCTTGGTCCTCAGGCAATCCACAGCCTTGGGAAAGTAGAATTGGAAAGAAGCGGTCAGAAAATAACATGTCCCACACAGGGGATGAGCAAGAATCAGGACTCTGGAGATACTCGAAGGTGAGGTCAGATTGCCAAGGGAGGCAGAAAAATAAGTACAGGTGTTTTCAAAGGAGTGTGGGTGTTTCTCAGGAAATTTCTGGGCCCCTGGCCTGACCCAGCATGGCATGGATAAGGCCTTTCCTAACTAATGCCTTAGTTCCCACCCTGATGAGTGCTGTCATCATTGTCAGTTACAGAATGAGCACTGTACCTCTTGCTCATGGTTCCGCTGGGCATGCGCACACCCTCCCTGACCCCTGAGCTATAGCGGGAAAGCAGTGGCTGCTCACCTTGGAACTGCAAGAAGTGAAACCACACTCGGGAGAATCACTGAGCCTAACTTTCCATTTGGATCTTGTGGCTTCTTTGCAGAAAGTTTTCGACTTTTACTGTTTTTAATGTCTTTACCATCACCGTGCTAAAATTCTTGAGTCAACTCACAGAGGGCCCAGAGCCTGCAGCCTGGATCCCTATGCCAAATTGCTGTGCCCATGGGTGAGGGACACACAGCTCAACCTCTGGCGGTTGGCATAGTCCTTGGTTGTCCCAGCTGGACTTTTGCATTCTGGGTCCTCTCGTGTGCTTGGTGTCTGCCAGATGCTGTCTTTGTGAGGCAAGGTCCACTTAGCTTCTTCTCTGGATTCTACCTGTTCCTTATTCAGGTTGTGTGTAGTAAAAACGCTATTAGTTTGTTCCCGGCCACTTAACTCCGACATAATCACACAGAAACCATGTTATTTAAATCACTGCTTGTCCCATTAGCTCTAGCTTCTTATTGGCTATCTCTTATATATTAATTTAACCCACCTCCATTAATTTGTGTATCACCACGAGGTTGTGGCCTACCAGCAAAGTTTCAGCGCTTCTATCTCAGGCGGCTCCATGGTTCTCCTGACTCTGCCTTCCTTTCTCCCAGCATTCAGCTTAGTTTTCCCCCTGCCTACCTATATTCTGCCCTGCACAAGCCCAAAGCAGTCCTTTATTAACCAATGGTATTCACAGCATACAGAGGGGAATCCCATGCCAGTTGTGGAGGCTCCCTTCTGCTGTCCTCCACCCTGTGGCAGAGAGCGGGGTTGGATTCCGAAGAACACACACGGTACAATGATCGAGATAGTCACATTCTATCCCCTGTCTCTAAGCCAGCAAGTTCACAGCAGCCAATCGTGGCTTTCTGTTGTGTCTGTTCCTCTATTCTGCTGCAGGAGGGGGACGTGGGAATTAACTGATTGTGTATAAGTTGTTGCAAAATTGATGTGTGTGTGTGTTTCTTCCCTGGCTTCTGCTGCTGAGGCAAGTGTCTGTGTGGTGAAGCGTCCACTCTTGAATATCAAAATATTATTCTTCATTAGCCTCCTCACTCCTACCCCATCTTCACGGGAGTGAATAAAGCCGTCACAAATATCCATGATGCTCCCTTACATAGCCATTCTTCAGCAGGTGTCTAGAAATGTGAGGGGTGGGTGGCCCCTTCCTCTGTCAGCCAGAAAGAAGGGAGAAGGCAGAGGTTGATCCGGAAGGCTCCTCCTGTGTTTCACTAACCCCCCTCCCCCCGCCCCCCAGGACACTGGGTCTTGAACTCACGTGGTCTCACTCTCTCTTTGGACACACATGATTTTGTACTTCTTCCTTTCTGATTTCCTTCGTATGTGGGAAGGAGATTCTGGTTGCGTGTTCTGTGCTGCAGAAGATGCTTCGTCTGCGAGAAAAGGCAGCTCAGATCAAACTGCCTTTAGTAAAAGGCTTCAGTAGCTGAAAAGTCAGCGACGTAGTTTTAGGCTGGACTTAATTCACCACTTGGTAGTGTTCCCACAGACCTGGTTCCTTTCCCTCCACAGGCACCCCACTGCAGAGGTTGCCCCTAAACCCTAAGCTGTTCTCCTAATGCTCCCACATAGCTGGCAGTCACTCTGGGGTTATATATAGTTCAGTGTTCATAAAAAGAGTCTCATAAAGACCATCTCCCCATTGTCTGGAAGGTCATAGCAAGTCTATCACTGGAGCCAGAAGAATGCACTGCATTGGTTGGCTCGGCCTAGATCGTATTTGGGAGTGGAGTATTTGGGGGTGGAGTCAGCAGCCCAGAACCACAGAAAACCCTCGTGTGGGTCTTGTTTCTTTAGGTGTTGTGGTGTTTAATATTGATGCTAGAAATATATCTCTGAAGACAGAGCCTTGACTGTTCTGTGCTGAGATCCTGCTCTCCATCCCTCCCCCCTTCCTTGTTATGTGTCTAGACATGCTGAAGAAGAGTTGTTGAAACAGGTCAGATGTGAGTGCGTGAAATGGGAGGAAAAGAGTGTAGACAGACTGGCTACCTGTTCAATCAAATATGTTTTATTACTTATGACGTTATTCAGACAGACTGGCTACCTGTTCAATCAAATATGTTTTACTCCTTATGACGTTATTCAGACAGACTGGCTACCTGTTCAATCAAATATGTTTTACTCCTTATGATGTTATTCAGACAGACTGGCTACCTGTTCAATCAAATATGTTTTATTACTTATGACGTTATTCAGACAGACTGGCTACCTGTTCAATCAACTATGTTTTACTCCTTATGATGTTATTCAGACAGACTGGCTACCTGTTCAATCAACTATGTTTTACTCCTTATGACGTTATTCAGACAGACTGGCTACCTGTTCAATCAACTATGTTTTACTCCTTATGACGTTATTCAGACAGACTGGCTACCTGTTCAATCAACTATGTTTTACTCCTTATGACGTTATTCAGACAGACTGGCTACCTGTTCAATCAACTATGTTTTACTCCTTATGACGTTATTCAGACAGACTGGCTACCTGTTCAATCAACTATGTTTTACTCCTTATGACGTTATTCAGACAGACTGGCTACCTGTTCAATCAAATATGTTTTACTCCTTATGACGTTATTCAGACAGACTGGCTACCTGTTCAATCAACTATGTTTTACTCCTTATGACGTTATTCAGACAGACTGGCTACCTGTTCAATCAACTATGTTTTACTCCTTATGACGTTATTCAGACAGACTGGCTACCTGTTCAATCAACTATGTTTTACTCCTTATGACGTTATTCAGACAGACTGGCTACCTGTTCAATCAACTATGTTTTACTCCTTATGACGTTATTCAGACAGACTGGCTACCTGTTCAATCAACTATGTTTTACTCCTTATGACGTTATTCAGACAGACTGGCTACCTGTTCAATCAACTATGTTTTACTCCTTATGACGTTATTCAGACAGACTGGCTACCTGTTCAATCAACTATGTTTTACTCCTTATGACGTTATTCAGACAGACTGGCTACCTGTTCAATCAACTATGTTTTACTCCTTATGACGTTATTCAGACAGACTGGCTACCTGTTCAATCAACTATGTTTTACTCCTTATGACGTTATTCAGACAGACTGGCTACCTGTTCAATCAAATATGTTTTACTCCTTATGACGTTATTCAGACAGACTGGCTACCTGTTCAATCAACTATGTTTTACTCCTTATGACGTTATTCAGACAGACTGGCTACCTGTTCAATCAACTATGTTTTACTCCTTATGACGTTATTCAGACAGACTGGCTACCTGTTCAATCAACTATGTTTTACTCCTTATGACGTTATTCAGACAGACTGGCTACCTGTTCAATCAACTATGTTTTACTCCTTATGACGTTATTCAGACAGACTGGCTACCTGTTCAATCAACTATGTTTTACTCCTTATGACGTTATTCAGACAGACTGGCTACCTGTTCAATCAACTATGTTTTACTCCTTATGACGTTATTCAGACAGACTGGCTACCTGTTCAATCAACTATGTTTTACTCCTTATGACGTTATTCAGACAGACTGGCTACCTGTTCAATCAACTATGTTTTACTCCTTATGACGTTATTCAGACAGACTGGCTACCTGTTCAATCAACTATGTTTTACTCCTTATGACGTTATTCAGACAGACTGGCTACCTGTTCAATCAACTATGTTTTACTCCTTATGACGTTATTCAGACAGACTGGCTACCTGTTCAATCAACTATGTTTTACTCCTTATGACGTTATTCAGACAGACTGGCTACCTGTTCAATCAACTATGTTTTACTCCTTATGACGTTATTCAGACAGACTGGCTACCTGTTCAATCAACTATGTTTTACTCCTTATGACGTTATTCAGACAGACTGGCTACCTGTTCAATCAACTATGTTTTACTCCTTATGACGTTATTCAGACAGACTGGCTACCTGTTCAATCAACTATGTTTTACTCCTTATGACGTTATTCAGACAGACTGGCTACCTGTTCAATCAAATATGTTTTACTCCTTATGACGTTATTCAGACAGACTGGCTACCTGTTCAATCAACTATGTTTTACTCCTTATGACGTTATTCAGACAGACTGGCTACCTGTTCAATCAAATATGTTTTACTACTTATGACGTTATTCAGACAGACTGGCTACCTGTTCAATCAACTATGTTTTACTCCTTATGACGTTATTCAGACAGACTGGCTACCTGTTCAATCAACTATGTTTTACTCCTTATGACGTTATTCAGAAGGAATGGGCCCAGTCAAGCTGCACCACGCACAATAAGAAGCATGCCTGCCCCCTTTGTTAACTGTCAACCTTTTGACCTTCCCTAGTCACGGTTTTGCCATATACCCACTCCCATGCTACGTCCTTGCTCAGATTCTGTCTCTAGTGAGAGACCTAAACACTATCCCATCTTTCTCTGCCAGCGGACAGTTCGCGGTGGTGAAGAAATGCCGTGAGAAAAGCACTGGTCTTCAGTATGCGGCCAAGTTCATCAAGAAAAGGAGGACCAAGTCCAGCCGACGGGGTGTGAGTCGTGAGGACATCGAACGGGAAGTCAGCATCCTGAAGGAGATCCGCCACCCGAACGTCATCACCCTGCATGAGGTCTATGAGAACAAGACCGATGTCATTCTGATCCTGGAGCTGTGAGTGTCTCTGTGGTGTGTGGAAGAGATTGTGGGGAGGGACATGGGTCTGCATAGGCCATAGTTAGCCCAACTGGACCATTGTTGAGAGCAGTCCTGAGCCGCCTGCCCGAGACTTAGTGACATAGAGTCACCTGGAATATTTTACGAGAATCATTTCCATTAACAAAGTGACACGCGATTTGCAAGAGAGTACCCAGATCTTGGGACTCATCTCTTTTCTAAAGTTTAACTCTGTTTGCTGTAAGTACATTATGTAGGGGTTCTCCTTTCTGAGGTTCATCTATGTTTACCATAAGCAGATTTCTTGAAGGGGTTCTCCATAACCTTCATGCATGTTTTCCCCCGACTCTCTGCCCTGTTTTTCTGCCTTTCTCCCTCCATTCTCCTTTCTCTTTCCTCTTAATCTTTAAAGCACACCCTGCTTTTAGCTGTGGGACTGTCAGCGCTAATTCCAGGAACGGGTGAAGTTGAAGCTGAGCTCCGGGCGGTGATTACAGGACTCTCTAAGCGTGTGCCCATCCAGTGTCATGGTGGGCAGCTGATTGACAAGCATTGTTCTGAACTGTTTCTGGTTTCCACCTCCTGTCCCTCCTCTCCCTGGATTCCTGCCTGCATGTGCTGTATGGGGACCCACTGTGACCAAGTCCAGCAGCCCCTTCTGGCAGGAGAGAGGAAGAAGCCACTCAGAATTCTCAGAGAGTCTCTCTATGGCATGTGGATGTCCACCTGAGGGAAGAGGGATGTGTAATGCTAAGGCCTGAGAGCTGATGCTGGGTGGTCCCCTGTGGTGACAAGTCCTATTTATTCCCTGGGAGGTTCCTGAGTCCTGATGTGTCCACTCTGTTTGGTGCTAAGGCCTGAGAGCTGATGCTGTGTGGTCCCCTGTGGTGACAAGTCCTATCCATTCCCTGGGAGGTTCCTGAGTCCTGATGTGTCCACTCACTGTTCAACAGCTCCCTTCCTTTGTACATAAACTGGCCCCATGCAGCTTCTTTTAATCTTTTGATTTTCTAAACTTCTTGTTCTGTAGTAAATGATGCTAGAGGAAGGTCGGCTCCCTATAGTCCCCTCGGTCTCTCCCCATACTCCTAGGTGCTCCAGCATCCCTCAGGCTGTTTTGTAATCAGCCCCATCTCCGCGTCCTAACCCCAGATGCTATGCCAGTGGAATTGACACAAGTGTGAACTCTGAAACCAGTGCCCCTCACTCAGTGTAAGACTTGCACACTTACACACACTCTTCCTTTTAAACTGCCTAGTAGCCCTCCATCACCGGGGTGGAGTGCTTGTTTCTGCTTCCACCACCCAGTGGGCACATGGGCTGTCTCTAGTCCTTCACAGCCAGGAGCTACACTGTCTCCAGCCCTCACAGACTGACACAAACACAGTTCTCCACATTTCCTGGGTCAGCACTTAGGAGTGGGGTTGCTGGGGTGAGTGAGGACCCCACAAGCAACTGGCAGGCTTGTTTTTCCAAGGATGAAGTTTCACTTTTCAGCCTCTCCAGCAGTAGGTAGCTTTGGCTGCCCTGCTAGCCCCAGCTTCGGCAGTGTTTATGTTTTTAATTGCAGGCATGTGATTAGGTGCCTGGAAGCATGCAGCTTTATGTTGCTGACTGTGTTGTGACCTTGAATATAACTTGTGGAAATTCCGTGGGAGCAGCAGGAGTTTGGAAGTGGATGGGAGGGTTATATGGCTCCATCCTCACAGGGTCAGGCACATCGCCACCGATTCCCGCCGCTCCTGGAGCTGATGGTCTCGCCTCCTCACCCATCTATTATGTGCAGTTCTGGTGGTTACAGCTGCTCAGACATTTGGTTAAAAGCTCTGAGTGATTTTGCATGATGTCAACATGTGAATTGGCTAGACCTAGGGAAGCAGACAGCTTTCCATAGGATGGGTGAGCCTTATCCAATCAGCTGAAGGCTCTGCTAGAACAAAATGACCAGTCCTTCCTTGAGTAAGAGACACTACTGGAACCACCCTGCAGGGATTGAGAAGGGACCTCTGCTGAGCTCAGGGTGGATACTATGTTACAGGGATTGAGAAGGGACATCTGCTGAGCTCAGGGTGGATACTATGTTGTTTGTTTGTTTGTGTTTAAGGCACATTAGTCAGACTTTAGGCCAAGTTCTGCTCTTCCGTTCCTTGCAACTCTGAAAAATAGCTTTAAGACAGTAACTTCCCCTCCTGCGCTTGCTTCACGGCAGAAGAGTTACCGTTGCACTGAAGTGCAGAATAAACATGCAGGAGGCACAGGTGACATCCCACCATCACGACTTTGCATCCTCCACACGCCATTGTTCCCTAATGAAGTCATGCCGAAACAAAGATCCCTTCTGCCTATGTTCTCGCCCACCCACCTCATTGCATGGTTGAGCCACTCCAAAACTTGAATGTGTGCTTGAATCATTCCATCATGCACTTTGTCACCCCGTGAGCAGTGGAACCGAACTGAGAGAACTTAGCTTTTTCGTGGCTGTGACCTTGGAAATACCTGAGCAGATGGACTTTGAAAGGAGGGAAGGTTTTGTTTTGATTCAGAGTTTCAGAGGCTTTAGTCCATGGCTGCTTGACCTTGTCTCGTGGTGGACTGGGTAGGCAGCATGCCGTGGTGGAGAGCATGCTGGAGCCAGGAAATAGAGAGTGAGGAGGGACTACGGCTAGAGGACCCATGGACGGCATCCTCCAATGACCTTACATCCCTCACTAATCACCTTCTAAAGCTTAACCACCTGCCTGCAGCAGCCTAGCGAACACAAGGGGTCTGATAGACACTTCTGATCCAAGTATGAATGCTGTGTCTAAATGCGTGGTGATGTCCATCAGAGGGACTGACATCTAGCAGTACATTGTAAAGGGTTGGATGTTTTGTTTGTTTGTATTTGTGAGGGAACACATATGTGGATGACAGCATGTGTGTGAGGCCAGAGTTTTATACAGATGTCTTCCTTAATTGCTTTCTTTAATCATGCTAACCAAAACAAATAAACAAACAAAAAACACCCAATGTAGGATTTTTTGTGCTAACCATGTTATATTAGCCGCATCCACGCTGTTGTATCTGGAGCTGTGGACAATTCTTCTTGAGAGTCTGAGATTCCTCCCTTGGTGAACAGCAGGTTTTTTTTAGTTCTCTTTGGGTTTGGCAAAGTAGTAAGTTCTGGGATGAAGTTGCTCCTGACAGACAGGTTGTATTCAAATATTACTGTGTATCAGACACCTTCCGTAAGATCATTGCTCATCCAACCCTTTACTTCTTAGCCAAACCCAGAGGTGAAATTGTGCACAGGAATTGTGCCTTCCTGCTATTATACACTGGTGTGAGGCACACACATTTGTCCGCCTGGCCCAGAACTGGGAACATATTTCAGAGACAAAGGCCAAGAATAAATCAATGCTTCCAGGCAAAGTGGCAAATTGGAGGGGGAGCTGATAGAGACGGATGCCAGAGGCTTCTCCCACGGTGCCTGTGAACAGAGGAACTCCGAGACTTCCCCCATGGTCTCTCCTGCTGGCACATTTGCTCATTCCTCCCCGAGGCTGAGCTCTTATGACATTTTGGACCTTTGCTTTTGTTTGCCAAGGCAATTTCGAGAGCTCCTTCTGGTACCCTACTCCTTAGATATCTGTTATTAGCCAAGAGCAGAGACAACAAGAGCAATTGGCAGCAACCTCCGCCTTTCACAACAGATCAAATCACACAGTAAATGACTTTCCACTCAGGTGAGCTCTTGAGCAATAAACCCTGCATGTGTGTATCTTGTACATTCTCTCTTCTTGCCAGCCTGGCTGAAAAGTGTTCCCTAGGTTATTATTATACTTTTACTCCCTTAGGTGCATGGCTTGATTCTTGAACAGCCATGTGTGTCTAAACTCTTGGATATGTGGTTTGAAGGCTCTGTTCATGGTCTCTTATTCTGCCTTCTGGAATCAATGTACCTGCTTGTTCTTCTTTATTGATCTTTGTTCCCTTCGGAAAAGTTGACTCTGCCCTCTGTTCCTCTTTGGCTTATGAAAGACTTCTGTTTAGGCTTCCTCACATATGCTGCACAGTGCTTTAATATGTATGAACTTCAAGACACTTAACTATGACCTCCTAGAATAATCCAGCCCCCAAGATTGTATCACTAGGTCTCTCAGAAGCCCCACAAGCATCCTCCAGGGATCTCATCGACATTTTCACCCAGATGGGTCTCCTCAAACTTCAACGCTCTCATGTGAGCTTCTGGTCTCCTCCCCCTTGCCCCTGTCTCCCCTGTCTCCCCTGTCTCTCTTTTTGCCTTTCTATCTACCCTTTGACATCTTTCATATTTTTAGAAGTCACCTTTGAAGTGTATTGCCCATGCATTTACTAGACTATGTGTGTGTTTTTATCCTTTAATGAACTAAAAGCTTTCTGGGTCTGTGTTAGAGTTTCCCTTATTTGTTCTTATGCATCAACTATCTAGGAGATGTGCAGGCTAACGCAGTGCCTAGTGAAAGTGGCTCAAGTCCTGTCAGTCTAGGAGATTAGCTGGGAGATGGCTGTCTAGTCCTTAGGGACAACAATGAGAGTCTTGTCTAGGTGAGGACATTGGGGTGAAAAGAAGGAATGCCCAACGGCATTGCCGACCAAGGCCCTGCTTGCTTATGGCCTGCCATGGTTGAAGTAGTCTTTCTTCTTTCATGGGAACAGGCAGATTGACTGCACTGGGACGTGGGGAGTTGTGTTCATACTGGGTGTATAGGTTGGAGCAAGCTGACTGGAAGGATGGCCAGTAGATGGGACTGCAGGGCATAGCAGTTGAAAGCTATTGTGGGCCTCACTCTGATACCAGTATCACTCAGACGTGGGTGGCAGAATTTGCTATAGATGTATAACACAATCCTGCCTATCAGATGTTAAATTGGTGTTAGAGAAGGGAAGGGGGGCAGACAGACAGAAGAGTCTTTCAGGGGATCAAAGGTTGACTTGCTCAAGATGGAGTTCCCTTTCCTGGACCTGAACTCTGTTGC